CTCCAAATATTATTGCACTGGAAATTTATTGTTTCCATAAATTAAGAAAAGTACTACATTTATTTTTGATACGCTTGTTATACATTAATTTGCTCATGCCCTTGGGCAGTGCAAGTACATATACATATATACTGATATAGATATTATAGACAAAGCCCTACCATTGTTGCTGTAGAAATGTATACTATTCAATGCAGGTGCATTACCTAAACCATTTATGGCATCGCAATTTCCTAAAGTACTTAAAACACAACCTTTATAAGCAATTAGTCAGTGAATTTGTTTATTGCGTTTCATTTGGCCCATTGCCAAACCCTTAATATATATATATATATATACATACATACATTATATGTATAGATAAACATCATATTTATTTATGAAATACAATTTTGTGAAACAAGCACAGGAGCAACAACTTTTTTGTCAATTCTGTACACTGTGCGCTGGAGTTGTGTTATTATTATTAATATTATTTTTGTCGGCTCTCATGCGGGTGTCGGCGCTCGGGAAATCAAAGCATTGTTCAACATGAAATACAGTCAGTCAGGCAGTCAGACGGGCTGTTAGATACAAAACAAAAGTCATTAAACTTGGAGTGTGGATTGGTTTTTGCAACGCATTTGACATTGCCATTGCCAAATGGAAGTCAATAGACGCACTTCGCGGCTGCTGCGCCTTTTGATTTGCCAAAATTAGCGATAGCAAAACACGCTACTCGGTTCATTCAACTCGTATTATTTTATTTTTGTGCACTAAACATGTCTGCCATTATGAATGTTGCTTGTTTTTAATACATTTTAACATTTCGCCGAAATTTCGGGCGGTGCTGCTACTTGATTTCCTACTCTAGCAATGACTGAACTGTTTTAAATATACAAAAATATAGTATAACGTCAGTGAATGCCATTCCGCAAATTTCTGTGAATGAATTGCCGTGCCGCATGCTAAGCTGCACGTCAACAACAGCTCACTTTATTTCCATGGAATGTCATAGGAGTCGCCTCAAATTCCAAATAAAACAGAAGGCAGCTTGCGCGCGTTCCATCAGAAAAGAAGAAAAAAACAAAAACTGGGGGTCATTTGCAAAGAGAATCACAGAATCAGCGCAGACGGAGAGAGAGGGGGAGAGAGAGAAACGTGACAATTGCATTCCAATTGCCTAAGTCGTAGTAGTCAATGGTGAACAAGTCAAAAGCCACAACCACAACACGTACTATATACATTTGTCGACATCGCTGCCATTTGTGCCCGCCGTGGCCATGGCCAGACCCAGACCCCAGCATGAGAATCAACTAGGTACGTACATATGTACATACATATGTATGTATGTATGAAGACCTGTAGCGTGTCAAAAGCTCGTGCGCAGGCGTAACAGCGACATAGTAGCATAAATGCATAAATAAACAAACATATGTACTTTACATACATAAATATATACATATGTATGTATGTATGATCGTACTCGTAGATGGTTTGAGTTTGCGCACTTTTCTTAATTTCGTTTTCATTTGGGCGAGACTGTAACCAATTTTTGGCGGCACCAATTGCCAGCAGACCATACACTGACTGCCTTACTTATTTGTATGGAATGCAGACAGTTGGCGTGCAAATTGCAATTTGAATTTACAGTCCTATGCATATCGATAATATGATCTACTACATGTACATACATATATATACATACATATATATAAAAATATGTAGTATACTGTGGAAATTCCCCAATAAAAATATTGAGAAAGAAACCAAGAATTGTGTACGAAAATGTGGAGCGATCAATTGTAGAACAAAATTTTGAATTTATATTAATAATAATCCTTCATCTTCTATGTAAGTTTGTGATCTTGAAATGTAGATGGCAAGCAGCTTTTGAAACAAAGTTTGTTCAGAACTCTGCGAGGAATTTTCCACACCTTTTTCAAACTCCTCTTCATTTTTTTCTATTTGCTGCAATAATTTTCCAGCACTCATGTATCTCGACGACCTCAATCGGCCGACAAGAAATGATTATTTTCATTATTATTTTATTCGAGGCTAAGGATATATCAAAAAACATCCATCCATCTACTTTATTTCTCAGTTAAGGTAATTCGTGAAATTCACATTCCACTGTTCCATTTCTTTAAGAAGGTATTATTCTTCTTGTACTAAAGCAGGAAGTTATTTTATGAGTTCTGATCAAAATTGGCAGCATAAGTGCAATATATTTAAGCCGTGTAATAAGTGTCGACACTTTTCCGGAGTGCCATACCTTTGACGATTTGCTATTTTGCTTCATGAATTTCATAATTAATTCCCTCTGGTTGTTTGTTATACTACAAGTATGTCCGACTTACATATTAAACTATTGACCTATCTAGAAGCTAGATTCCACTATACACAATTTTCGACATTCCATTTCGCTAATCTTAAATGCTTTCCCCTTCAGTTTAGTCGATGACTCATGTGTGGACCTAGGGCGCAATCTTGGAATTTCTCTGTAGCTTTTTGTTTTATTTAAGCATAATAACTTGTTCGTTAAATTGTTTAACTATGCAAAATTTGGAGTAAAGTTGACTCATAACTGCTAAATACGATATACTTGTGATTATGAGTAATCCAGAGCATAGTCCAAATGTAATCATGAAAGGCAGCTTAAGCCAAACCGTGACGTTCAAGTGACGCACAAATCATGTCGCTGTGATCGACAGATTCTCCCATACTCGTACATACAAGTAGTATAAGCATGTGATAATTGAAATGTGCAAAAAAATATTCACATACTCGTATTTATATGGAAGCATCCACATAGTGCCTGATTGCATATTATTTTATGTGGATCATGTGTTATTTGCTGTGGACTCGGGCGTGACGCTGACTCGCTTCTCTTTTATAGTCACGTTTTTTTATCTCTACCCCACAGACTTGGCGACGCTGCCTATTATGCATAAATTTGTCTACATATGTATGTATGTACTCACATTTATTTTGGATGGACAGGCTAGACTCTGTGGTGGCAGGTGTTGCAATTGGAGTAGAGTTAGGTGCTCAGCTTCTGAGGCAGCTCAAACCGAATTTAAATGACCTGCCTGTTTATTTGCTTTGTGCACTCGATTCATAAAAGTAAAAAGGCAAATTTAATTTTTTTATTATTGCTTTGGTTCATGCTATATGCGTGTGTGCATCGTACCTACTTTATCAACATGATTTCGCGAAAAGGAAAACAATTGTTGTTTTGTATACAAACGTACATTAGTATGTATGTATGTTTGTTTGCTTATATTTTATTATTCTTTGCACTGCGCCACACTTCGCGGAAACTTTTGCCAACACCACCATCACGTTTGATTGCACGGATTTATGGAGATTAGAGATTGCTTATATAGTGTGCCAGTGCCACACAATTTGTAGGTGTGACTCTGTGCAAATTGTAGATAGCGGGTAATATTCCATTAGAGTTTTCACTCGACGATAAAAATCCTCGTGGTGTTGTATGACCAAACAGCATTTGTCGTTGTCTTAAGCCATGAAATCACGAGACTCGACTCGCAGCTAGGCATTCTTCTCTTTACCTTCACGTTGATCCTATGCAGTACTTCCAGAAATCCATTGAACAACATTGTGAACAATTACACAAACAAACATAGGCTGTTCCCTTGAAGAACTGCAAACTTGTTTGGCTCCTACTACATACATCGATAAATTGTTCTCAAACTATAATTAACAAACTTTTATTTCAGATGTCTTTAAACTGATCCGATCTGACAGAATTCTATGCATGTATATTATAGAAATAATGGTAATGATAATATGAATTTTTGTTTCAAATTTAGATTTGGTTCTTTAATAAAATATATAACTACTCCTTTATGTTAAAAATACCAAACCTAAAAACATTAAAAATTGTTTTCTAAACTAGCTTACTCATACTTGTATTAAGTTCTGAATTGGATTGAAACAAAGTGCATTTTATAGCATCTTTATTGCTTTACAAGTGGCGTTGGCAGGTGCTAGAGATTTGTTCGGGTATGAGCAGCCAACTTCTTTAACTTTTAATCGCTCCTTGACGGGTGTCATTTCTACACCAATACAAATTTTACACAGATAAATTATTAATTATCTAAAAAAAACAACAAAAACTAGATAACTACTGCAGCAAAATTGCTTATATTAATTTACCCTATTGATAAAAATAACTGCCATCAATGCTGATTGATGTCAAACCAAAGACAAGCTCGCTAAAAATGACTTCATGTTTATTAAAATGTGTGAAAGCATATGATTTCTTACATTGTATTAAAACTCATAAGCAAATAAAAAAGTGCAGAGCTATTTAATTCGTTCAGTATTGGTGAGTTCCTAAAAACACATTTCCTAATTATTCGAAATTGATAAAGAATCTTACGCACAAAACAACAATTATTTAATAAAAAGACCCGAGATTGTGTTGAGTTTCAACTAAAACAGAGAGGCAAAGACTAGATCCGTTTGATCAGTTGTTGTTATCATCTGCTTATAAAATTATTTCATTTGGTTTCCAATTCTACAATTTGTTTAATAACATGAGAACCTTTCGTCGAGGTAAACAAAAAAAAAAGATACCATGTAGGTGGTTTTTGTAGAATCACAATAAATATCACTCTGAAACCATATGCCGAATCTTTTATTTCCTTCATTAGATTCACTTACTCAACGCCATATAAGCGAGCCATAAAGCGTTCTTACACGTTCGCTGTACCATCATTCATTAGTAACTATAAATTTAATGCTTAACCGCACTCTGTCAGACGGATAGCTTTATTTCACCAGAGCTACGACAAAATTTGCTCAGACTTAACACCTACCTTTTATTACATTGCTAATTTTGGGGAGTTGCTCATGGCAGGTGTGATATCCAACCAGCTCGGTCATTCTCTAATTTTTCAAAGCCCCTCAGCAACGCCCAGCCGCAAAGTCTGCCGCTATGAGGCTTTCACCCAAAAGCCCACCATTTATAAAAAGCAAACCCATTGAAAATGTTGATTTTTGAGTAATTTTTGTAAATTTTATTCCTTTTTAGTAGTTTTGTGTTGTTGTGGTTGATTTTTTCAAGTTGTTTTTTGTTTCTGTTTTATCAAATTTTTTGTTTTTTGCTCTTTCTTAGTTGCTCATCATTATGATCACTATATCACGTGGTCTTATAAACGACATATACAAATAGTTTTCTATATTTATAAATATACCTTTCTTTTATGCATTTAGTTTTACAATTAAATAACTTAAATAAGATGAAAAAGATAAAGAGAGAGAGAGAGAGAGAGAAAAAACGTAAAGCGGCTTACACCTAACAAAAAACTATTATCAAATGGAGATATAATTATGCGTATTTATTTATTTCACAAGACAGTATTATGTGTGCTTTTTTCACTTTTTCTAAAAAAGTTGCGCTTTGTGCTTCTAAAGTATCATCTGTTGTTTGATTCGCATTTGTCAGCACAAAGTGAGGGAAGACTTTTTAGATTTCATTGTTATTGTTTACTTCTTTTTTTCTTAAGTAGCGCTCTTTCTTCACTCATTGTTATTACACATATAATATGTGTGTGGAATTTTGTAGGCATAGCAATACGAGTTTAAAAAACACAGTTGAGCGAAAAAATAGCAAGTTAAATGAAAAACATTCTAATACATTCATTCATGAGGCAATTCAACACCAAGTACTTGGACTGAGGTAGTTTCTTCTTCTTCTTGTTATTCCTTGTTTTGCTTTCTTCTTTCTTTCTTTTTTTCTTTCCCTACGCTTGTTGTGTAGAATACCGTTAGCGCAAATTGATGAGGTTTAGGTTTACAAAAATAAATAAATTACAACAATGTGTGTGTGTGTGTGTGATTGGTACAGTGTTGGTGAATGCGTGCATGCGTGAGTGAGTGGTGAGTTTCGTACAAGTCAGCTTCCGGTAGGGGAAGCTGTGACGATTGTTGCTCGCATGTCCTGCCGTGCCACTTCGAGCGACATTTCCAAGCAAGTGCGAAATGTGTGAAATGAGCGAGATGGAGTGAGATGGATATATATATATATGTGTGTATATACATATATATGTTTGTGTGTGCGGTACATGCGTCCCGGGAACTGGTCCAATAAGAAAAATGTATGACCCAATTGTGCCCAATTGCGACACCTGCGCAATGTGTGTGTGTGTGTGTGTGTGCGTACGTGTGTGCAACGCCCATCAGTCTTAATGCCGCCATAGCGCTGAACGCTTGCCTGCTTTTGCGAGATTCTCCAGATTCTGACAGCCATCTAGGCTTCAATCTAGGCCTGCGCCTCACCATGGCCGCCAGGGCTGCTCCTCCTCCTTGATCTGCTTCTTCATGACCAGCGAGAGCGGTTGCTGATCCTGCTGTTGCTGCTGCTGCTGCTGTTGGGGCACGCGTTGAATAACTGAGGGTTTGCAGTCCATCGCTTCGTAGGAGTTGGCTGGGCTGGGTGGCGCATAATGTATGCTGCTGCTGCTGCAACTAGGCGCTGATTCGTAACCCGCCGAGGAGTGCGACGAGGCCGAGCCGGTGGAGGCGGTACGCTGAGGGATGGGCACAAGCAGGGGTGGCTGTTGAGCGGCTGCGGCTGCTGCTGCAACGGCCAATGCGGCGGTCTGTTGTTGCTGCTGCTGGTGGTGCTGTTGCTGTTGGGGCAGACTTTGGGGCAAAACGAGGGCGATGCTGCCATTGGGCAACTTTGTTGGTATCACTTGCATGCCATTTGGCAGAAAGTATCCCTGAGCGGTCTGTTGTATCTGGCCAGCAAAGAGATAGGGCGCCTGTTGTTGCTGCTGCTGCTGTTGTTGCTGTTGCAAATGATCCTGTTCGGGTGAGCTGGGCGGTGATGGCAACATTTGGGCGTGCAACTGCTGGGCTTGTGCCACAGCTGCCTGTCGCTGCTGATGGTGCAACTCAGTCTTGACGCCATTGATGCAGTTGCTCAAATGTTGCAACAGACGGCGGCGTGTGGCGGGCTCAAGGCCCGGAAAGCGACTTACTTCATTGGCGCAATCGTTAAAGCCGGCTTTGAATTTGTTAATTGTCTTTGGATCGGCTGCCTGTTGCATGGCGGACTGTTGGCGCTGCAACTCCTGCAGATGTTTAACTGTTTTCTCCAGAATATCGGCCTTTTCCAGCTTGGAATGACGCGCCGGCTGTAAGTGGAACAAAAATAAGAAATAAAGGCGCAATTAGTTAGGGCTCAGAATATCATGGTGGGTGTTGCTATAATATATAGCGTTATTTTTTTAAATTTTTTTTTTTTTGCATGTACTTCTTGGGCAAGATACTTACGTCTTTTTTGGTCGCATCCAGTATGAGAGTCTTCAGCTCATTCAGACAGTTGTTAATGCGGGCGCGTCGGCGTTTCTCCATAATGGGCTTATTGGACTGTAAGAGAGAAAAAGGCGTAGATGTACGAAATTAGTCAGAGTTTAGCAATAACAACAACAACAACAACAACCACAACTTAATTTAAGCCCAAATCACAGCTGACCTCATGCAGAGCGCGGTCCAAAAATAGTTGGCAGGCTGTGCATGAGGCGCTACGAGCATCTCGCTAGCGAGCAATCTTTAATTGGAGACAAAGAAGCGCGGGCGCTTGCCACAAAAACAATTTTATGGCAGGGGGCCAATGCTTGGCAGTGTCGTCGTACATTTTTCGATTTGGCCCTCGCATTTCGACGTGCGCGTGCTTTATTTTTAAATACAAAATAATATAAAAATCTTCTCATGTGCACTTGCGTTCGGCTCGTTTGGTTCCAAAAATAGTTGCGCTTAGCCTATGCGAGTAAATTACAAAACGGCAGCAATGAAGCATATTGTGGCAAACACAAATATATTTTTGGCTAGGCTAAAATTAACAACTGCACAGGTATTTCACACAACAACAACAGCAACAAGGTCGTCGTGGGAAATTCGACGACGCAAAAATTTATTGCTTATTTGTTTTGCATATAAAACGTAAAAATTGTTTTCATATGTGGCCGAATTTGGCGAAGCAGCTAACTGTTGCGTGATGTCAGCCTGGACCAAGCGCTTAGCGCCAAAAACGGTAAAAGCCAGCTAAAATACGAGTATGTATGTATGTTTACACATTTGTGTGTACGTTGACCGACAATTGCAGCCCAAACACGCGCCAAGTTGGCCAAATGTTGGCGTCGCCTATGCTGCCATTGACTTGTGTCGGCGGCAACTGTTTTTGGCCGCTTAAGTGGCCCAGCCACCACCAGCAGCAGCAGCAGCAGCAGCAATAGCCGCCAAAATGCGTTGGTTGTCTCACGCTCCCCACACAATTCACCCAATTTGGGTGGCACTTATGAATGGCTGTCTGTCTGACTGACTGCCACATTTGGGTCTGTCTGCCTGCATGAATGAAGCGGACAGCAGCGTACGAGTAAATGCCGCCGACGTAAAATGCGCGCACGCTCGTGTTGGCGCTGACTTTTTTTTGCTTTGTATATGGTCTGCCATGTGGGAGCTAATAATTTTTTTTTCTTTTTTTTTGATTGTGACTTTTGCCAAAAAGGAAATGCAAGCGTCGCAGCTGGTGGGCGTACGAAAATAAAATTGAAAAGCTTGCGCAGCAGAGCAATCAAAAAATGGTAGGCCTACATTCGGTCCGGCAGTAAAAAAAATTGCACGTTTCAGAATTTTAAGAAAAAACTTGCAATAATTTTGTAATGCTTTTAAATTATTTATTTATTTCTGATGCACTTCAGAATTCATTAAAAATTAAATTTGGAATTTTTTAAAAGTTGCGTGCGCTTTTTTAATAAAAATAACAACCATGCTGTCTTCGCTGCTGCCAAATTTTAGCTTGTAATCCGTTTTTTATGCTTACGATCTAAAATTTTGAAGAACGTCTTAGACACTTACCCGACGATCGCTCTTAAGCGCTGTCTCCTTCAGCTGGCTGGGCACCACAGCGGCGCCCAAAACGCTGGCATTCATGTTGGCTGCAGTTACGCCGGTAACCATTTTGTGGTGTGTGTTTATGTCAATTTATTCAAATAGTTTTGTCACTAACAGCAAAATAAATTAATTTTGCTGCTTCACTTTCAATTGTTGCTCTGCTTTGTGTATTTCTTGTTTGTTTTTGTTCGCTTAGCAATTTTCAGTTTCAGTTTCAATTTCTAGTTCACTTTTCACTTTCAAAATGCGCACAGAACTAACGTACGCGTTTGCTTCCGTTTCCGATATTACACTTGACTATACTCGTATATAAGAGTGTGTAGCTTTCTAGATAGGCACTAGTACCGTACGCTACAACGTTCGGCAAGCGAATGGCTGTCTGGTTCTGACTACAGTCCGATTAAAAGACCAAAAACCGAACAAGCGAAACGAAGCGCGACATGCGATCGTGTGTGCTTCTCACTGTGTGTTTGCGCGGTATGTGTGTCTGTGAGAGAGTAAGTGTTGGCGTTTATTTTTGTGCGCGGCAGACCTTTAACATATACGTATGTATGCAGGCATATATATGAGAGAGAGACTACCTTATCGCTGGGCTTACAGCAGACGACTGACTGACTGATCGACAGGTTTGTTGGCTAAATCGCAGCGACGAGACGCGAGTGAAGGCGTGTGCGTTCTGCGGGCCACACGACCAAGTGGCATACCTACACACACACACACACACATATATATATATCGAAGCAGACACGATATACACACATATGCATGCATGTATGTAGTGAAGAGCCCGGCACTTGCGCAGGTAGAGGTTTGCGTATGGCGGCTACCTAACGAACGTGTGACAGACAGACAACAAGCTGTTGTTGTTGTTGTTGCTGCTGCTGCTGCTGCTTACCTAAGACATACAGAAACACTCACACAAGCTTAGAGCAGCACAGACGGCCTTTGTGCGAGAGCGAGAGTGAGTGAGTGAGTGAGTGAGTATATTGCTCATACGCCCCCCTAAACACGCTAAGCAAGGCAAAAAGTCTTTCTTCCTTTTTGGAAATTTCAAAACCCCCAAAAGCGCGCTCAGCTCGCGGGATTCACAAGCCATGCGCAAAAAAGGAGAGTGTCTACACACATATATATTTATGTGTTTGTGTGTGTGTGGGAATGAGAGAGCGATGATTCATGGGCTGAACGTGCGCAGTGCCAACGTGACGCTGCCGATGAAGGCGGCGGAGCTGCGCACTTTGTCTTTTGAGTCGGCCATAGAAGGTGAAAATAGCAACAACAGCAATGACGCCACCCCACCGCGCGTTAACACACACACAAACACACACACATACGCACTCTACTACAGACATAGGCAGATAGACAGGTTCATGTATTGAACGCTTGTATGTCGTGGGGTCGCTAAACAGTAAACAAGATCACAAGGTTGCGAACGCACGCCACTGCTGAGAAGCTTTGCCAAGCGGAAGCATGATTTCAGGGGGTGGCAATGCGGGGGCGGGGGAGTTGCTGTCATGCGTCACAATCATATACATACAAGTACATACATAGTTAATATATGCTATACAGTAGGCTCAACCCCTAGTGATAAGCTGGCAACCGCGTGTCGCAGCGTGTGGCGCATCTTATCAGCAATGCGAGTCAGTCCGTTTGTTGTTCCAATTTCGACCATGACGCGTAGTTTGAGGCGATGCATGGCACGTTCTAGACGCAGCACATACTTATCATATGTGTATAAAAATATTTACATACATATGCACGAGTATGTGAACTCATTCCCCATGCCAGTCGGCTCAATTAAGTGAAGGTCGCTTACATGGTCGAGACTAGGACATTACAGCCACAATTTTATTTCAACGCCACCGCCGACGCGACGTACTTTTGAATTTGATCGATCAAACGTGTGATCGCACGGTGGGCCAACTAAATAAATGTAGCGACTAAATTACGAGACAAATATTGCATTCTTTAAAGTAGGTTAAGTAGATACATATGTATTTATTTCATTCTTTATTTTACCCACATTACACCCAATTTATTGAATTATTCCTGTTCTATTTCTAGTGTCTTACCTGTACACCAACAGTTTGATAATGTATATAATAATAATATATTATATATAATATAATAATAATAATTAATCTATTATAATAAAAAATCAGGAACCATAATCAAAAAATTCAACAAAAAAAAGCATTTATTTTTTATTATTTATCAGCACAAAAATAATAACAAAATTTTTTTTAATATTTGCCGATTTTTAAACATACTTTCTCACCAAAACTAATCTAAATAGTCCACACATATGTACTTATATGTTTTAAGAAACAGGTCTTACTATCCTATAGTTCCTTCAATTCATGACGAAACTCTTTTATACAATTTTAGTAGAAATATGAAATAACATTAAACAAAACTTGTCTAACAATTATATAATGCCACCACCACCTACATTAACTCACAAGTTCTCCATAAATGATATTTCATATTTCGCAGCTAACAATGTGAAAAACATACGAGTATATGCAAGTCACATGCCAGTAATGTCAACTTTGACCCGGAAAATGGGTAGTACACCCCATTGTGCATCGCCCCATTGATTTAGGGGATTGCTCGAGCACACGTGCTTTGGGCCGTGCGGCCCTACACGCGGCTCCATTGTGTGTGCTGGTTGGTTTTGTGATTTTTTATGGTTGCTACGTGTGCGACTGGACTTTCACGTTTTGACTAATGACTTGGCGCTGTCGAAGGTTAGGCACTCTACGGATATACATACATACATATGTATGTAGGTAATATTGTTGTTTATGGCCTGGCTAGAAGGTTGACGCCAGCTAGAATCGAAAATGCGGCGGCGGTGGCGGTGGCGGTGGCGGCAACACCTTCGCGTTCCAATTACAATTTGGCAGGCGATCAAACGTTGCCGCCCGCAGCCCAAATCAGCCGCAGACACAGACACAGCCAGAGCCAGAGCCAGAGAACTAGAAGCTGATGTAGTAGAAGCAGAGGCTGTGGCATGCCACTGGCTACCCATGAAGACGGCGGCACTTGTGCATGCCAATTTAATTGCACACAGACAACAACAACGAACGACCACAACGACAACTGTAGCAATGTTGGCGTCGGCGGCCAATCTGGTGTATCACATGTGCGTTGGCAATTTAAAGCGTTTACATCATGCCGGGCCAAAAACAGCAACGGCCGACAATAACTGGCTGCGGTCGACTGGCGACGTTTGGCAAAAGGTGTATCCAACAGATACAATACAGATACAAATGCACAATGCATTTACAGTAAATGCTTCTCAACTTGAAACATTTATCGAAAATATTTCAGTACAAGTAAGGACTGCTGTCAGATCTAAATGAAACTTTTCCCACCAAGTACTTAAACAAATTTTTATGTTATTTTTTATTGAACGTTTTTCAACTGAAACGCCTCTCTCTTAGTATTAAGATGGGGAGTAACTGAATAATAGATTGTACTTTTTATAATGTCGATATTGGCGTTTGACAAAAAATATGTATAAATACTCGTCTATAAAAAAGGAACTTAATTTTTGAAGACAATTAAGGAATTAATCGATTTTATTCTCATTGGGTTAATAGGAGATTAAAACGTTAATTTTATCTATTCTTTCTGCTTCACTGAAATGAAAACGATACGAATTCTAAATCATGATTCAATGCACAGAGAATTGCCCCGTTGTCATATGAGAACCGGAAATTTCTTATCAATATTTGTCTAGTAAGGCAAAAAACACAAACACGAATTGAAAACTACCTCAGCATACAATTTACTTGGAATGACTAGTAATTTTTAAAAAGGGGAATCACTAGTTTTATAAAATTTTATATGGAAAGCGATGACTGAAAAGAAACCACGCTCTCCGACTAGTCTTAGCTGTTTTAATACCATGTCCGGGGTAGTTTTAAATGAAAATATCGATGACTCACCATTTTGAGGCCAAGAGTATCTGATCTATCGGGGACTTCTTTGGGGAATGTACATATACATATACTTTTTGGATTTTGATGTATGGCTGGGTTTGATTTTCCCAAAGCATCGCTGAGTAAGGCTGCAGAGGCTGTGCTAGGGGCGTTAATAGATAAAGCTTAGGGTTTTTTTTTTTGACTTATTTGTGTATTGTGGCTTCTAATGAAGCCTTTTTATTTGTTTAATTAAATAAAAAACATACATATGTATTTGCATATGTACATTTGTATTTCTTTGTACTCTTCTGTTCAATAACAAAGGGCTTATTATCCACAGAACCTTTCCAGGCGAAAGCAGTTCCAGAAGTAAGCTTTTTCGCTGATAGGGGCACCCATAAATTCAGCCGAGCTTACAGCATGGGCAAGGACTTACATGCGGAGAGAAATCTCAAAAGTTGGAGCCTCTACTGTACATTCAGATGGGCGGCATGCGTACCCACACTTATTTGCGCTCAATTTGCTGCGCGCCGTATTTGAATTTTTGAATTTCGCAAATGATCGAGTAAATATATATAGATATACTTGTATGTACATAGCTGATGCATAAACAAGCGGCGGCGCAAAATGCCAGCCAGCCAAGCAGCTAACGTCGTCGTCGTCGTCGCCGCCGCCTGCCAATCGGGAAGATCACATGCAGCGTCTAAAATAAACTCTAGGCACAAATTTATGGCCAACAAATAAAAATTGAGCAAAAAAACAACAAAATATGTAGAATCGAGATAGAAAATAAGCAAATGAAATGGTAAAAATGTTTGCAATGTTCGCATTGCTAATTGTGTCTAAATATAGCAACAGTGGCGGGGGTGCCACGCCAATTCGTTCATCAATGCCTTCGGGCTATGGTCAGGCGTATCTGCGACGTCAGCAGCCGCAACACCCACGCGCCACCACAGCCAGGGCTGGGGATATGCACCTTCGACAGACAACTATATATAGGAGGCTATGGCCATACGACTATCTGTGAGAATGGGCGAGGAAGAGAGAGAGAGAGAGGGAGAGAGAACATCTCACTCGGCCGTGTATTAAAAATACATTTCGTACATATTATTGGGCGCGCGATTAAAACGCCATAAAAATCGTCGCTGCGCTGTTTAAAACGCGCGCGCGCCGCGCCAAATTAAAAATGGCGAATGGCGACTGTGGCATGCGTGCCATTTTCGTTACTGCTGTTGTTGTTGTTATTGCACTTAATGGTGCTGTGATTTTTGGCAGCTAAAACACACACATACGCAAATTTATATACTAATTCGACCCACTGAGACGTACTCGTACATACAAACGCACATTTTGTGTTTTGTTTAAAAGTCGCCGCCGTCGCTTTTTGCATTGTTATTGTTATTGTTGTTATGTATTTTTATTGTTCAGTATTTTATTACTCATTAACGTAACGACGACGCATTTTGGGCCAACGGGCTGCTGCTCAGAGTTCATTGGGAGCCGACATGCCTGTTGTTTGTGGCGGG